GTTACTATCATTAAGCTTCAAGTAGAAGCTACCAACAGATAACTAAGTAACTTTTTTTAAATCTTCAGTGGTAAAATTCTATCACACTGTTATTAATATTGAATCTGTCCTTTATTTAATTTTTATCATAATCTAGTATCCTAAAAGATCCTAAAACATAGTATCTAGTACATGTACGTCTTTATTACTATCATTAAGCTTCAAGAAGTAGAAGCTACCAACAGACAATAACTAACTTTTTTAATCTTTAGGTTGCCAAGTGGAACCAATTTCTTGTTCAAAATGCAATGAACCCTTTCCCACAGGATTCCACTTACTTTTTACTTCACAGAGCCTTTTGTAGTTCACCCCATAGTACTCATCAGCCCAGTTCTTAAGGTGGCGTTCAATGTAGTTCACATAACTGCCGACAGCACAGCCTGATTTCTTTACAGCATCATATGTTGACGTAGCAAAACTGTGCACTTCTTCCTTGTGTTCTGGGTCAATGAACCTACCATATGTGTAAAAGCTGTACTCAGCAGAGCGATGGGGGAAAGCTGTTGATGTTGGAGAAAACTGTTGAATGTCACCTCCCATGTGGACGAACTCGATAAGGCATTCAGAAGGGATTTCTAAAGTAGCAAAGAATTTGGCCAAATCTGGATGCAAGGACTTGATCATAGCTCCCTTGATGTATATTGGCTCTACTTCGTAATGAACAAAGCCATGCCTCTTGCTGTATTCATTTACGAACTGCAAGTAAGACGTGTACCTTCGTGGAGGATCCGTCGTCGTTGGGTGAAGACTTTTTAGCGCTTCTAAAACTTTGTTTTCGTGGTGATCAGAATAGACAGCATCAAGAGTGAGGACCCTTTTCCCAAAGAAGCCATGAATAGCCATGTCAAGGTTCAGCTCTTTTGGCAAGAGTTTCAAATTAGCTCCAACTGCAATAAGACCTTTTTCGCAGCTTTCATTGTCATCGTAAATGAGGCGAGTCCAAACGAACTGACGAGGGCGAGGACTAACCTTTAGGGTCACATTAACCAAAGCTCCAAAATTTCCTCCTCCACCGCCTTTCAAAGCCCAAAACAAATCCTCATTCTCGTTCTCTGATGCCTTCACGACATTGTCGCCATCCACCGTCACCATCGTGTATGACACTGCCTTGTCACAAGCCAGACCACCATATGCACGCGACAGCATGCTGTAGCCACCTCCGAGAATGTACCCCCCGATACCGACTGCCGGTACACATCCTCCAACAGCTACATAATCTGAGCCTTCAAGTTTCGAGTACACGTCGCCCCAGCTTGCTCCAGACTCTACCGTGACCATGTTATTATGGAGTGTAACATTGTTGATGTTCTTGTAGGACACGACAAAACCTTGGCTATCGATGGTAGAGTATCCGGCAAAGCAGTGTCCACCAGATTTGATAGCCAATGGAGTACCAGTGTCTTTAGCAACCCTCAAACATCGCTTGATGTCATCGACATTTCTAGGAAAGGCCACAAATGCTGGCTGCTCGTAGGCATAGTTTGGATTGTAGATCTTTGCTGCTTCCTTGTAGGCTTCTGGCTGATCTGGCGTTACTGCAATGTCTTTTAGATGTGAAAGAGCAGATTGCACTGGGCTTTCCCCATGGACCATCCTTGCAGAAACTGCTTTGAAAAGGCTCTTGAAAATGGACGATCTTTGCGACAAGAAACGACGTTTACCAAACGAAAGCATTTTAGTCGAATCACTTCCTTGTCTCCGTGAATGATGTCATAAAGTTAACACAGGAGGCCCAAATTAAAAAATTCTGATCCCGCCTAGAAGGAATTATTGCTTATTTACAGTGTTTAAAAATGATGTGTCAGGTAAGTGTCTATATACTTTTTATTTAGTTTTCAATCGTATTCTGCCTTTAATACATTTATTACGTTACAAACCAGACCTCGTTACAAACCAAGTTGTCACTGTCACACCTGAGCAACAAAAGGGATTGTCACACCATGCAATCTCACCTCGGGGAGGATTTGTGGTCACTCATATCGCTCCTCAGATAGAAGGATTGCCATACCTCAGGGAGAAGGATTGTCACAACTCAGGGAGAAGGATTGACACACCTCAGGGAGAAGGAATGACACACCTCAGGGAGAAGGAATGACACACCTCAGGGAGAAGGATGGCACACCTCAGGAAGAAGGAATGACACACCTCAGGGAGAAGGATGGCACACCTCAGGGAGAAGGTTGACACACGTCAGGGAGAAGGATTGTCACACCTCAGGGAGAAGGATTGCCATACCTCAGGGAGAAGGATTGCCATACCTCAGGGAGAAGGATTGCCACACGTCAGGGAGAAGGATTGTCACACCTCAGGGAGAAGGAATGACACACCTCAGGGAGAAGGATGGCACACCTCAGGGAGAAGGAATGACACACCTCAGGGAGAAGGATTGTCACACCTCAGGGAGAAGGATTGCCACACCTCAGTGAAAAAAAGGATTGACACACCTCAGGGAGAAGGGTTGCTTCTCTTATAGAAATACCTTGAGGTGATTAATTACGGAGAATTCGATATGTATTTGTATGCATTTGATATGTAGTCAATCTGTAGTCCATATGACAAGAAAATGGAAAGCGGAAAAAGAGAAATGTACTCAAACATAGAAAGATGGAATCTGATGGCTCAAATAATTTAGACATGGTGACTCATTTAGTTATTGTAAATTTTAACAAACAGCTTCCTAATCAAATACGCCTCTTTTTACATACGATATATGGTCGGGAACGCTTATGTCAATAATGCTATTGATAAAGTTTTCTCAGACTTCGCCCACCTCAACACTATTAGTCATCTCCAGCTATGGCGTTAATAATACAGATAATATGGCTGATAGTGTCAGCGGTTTTCAATTGATCTCTTGGAAAAGCAAGGTGTTGAGAGGACTGCGGAAACAAACATTACAAAAAACACCTGGCGGTTACTCGTTTCTCTAAGAAACTCAATATTTTCTGATTTGCATTTGAGCTGTTTAAACAGAGCAACCGCGGGGTGGAAATTCAAATTAACTTCACTCTTCGACGACAACACATTTTGCTAGGATTTTTGCTCGTTTTCCTGCAAGAAGAACGCTAAGAGAAAGATGGAAAATTTTCGAGACTGTTATTCGTAATCCAAGTTACCCGTGGATTTAATACGAAAGTTGGATCATCATCATTCATATATGATCAAGATATGCGTCTTGGACAACATTGTAGTCTATTATACTGAGTTGTATCAGTTGCTAGGGCACCGAGACTTGGTTTATACCAAAAACGAACCAGTTGAGTTGTTGGACCGTTTTCTTCACAACCTACAACAATATGTTTGCATAAGTTTCACTTGTTTACTCGCCATTTTATAGTATTTTCTAAACAACTATTGAAGCTATATCTCTTACAGGAGATATCGACAGCCGACGACTTCGATCGTAAGGGTGACTTGCATGCAAATTTTCCGACAGCTTTGAAAATGTTGTTGGACGAAATTTACTTTGGCTTAGCCGCTTCCATTTTAACCGCAACTATCGGAAGTTTTGTAACAGAACACTGGTTTTTCTACTTAATGACTGCACTAGTAATATTTCAGGTATGGATGCTGTTTTCGGGAGCACTTCGGAATCCGAATCTGCTTTCCGAATATGACGATGAAGATAGCGACTACGAAAGAGAAAACCTTCATGAAATGCAAAAGAGAAAAGGAAAACACGGGAATGAAAATTTGGGTGTTGTCGATAGAATAAGAAAAAGAATACATATTCACACTCCTCGTTTTAAAAGGAAGGCAGATATGACAATTGAACACCCAAAAAATAACGGAGATACATTATCATTGTCATCAAACGTAACACCTGTTTTACCACAAAGTTTAGTTGGGCTCAATGATAGCGAAAAACACAATTCAGGGTCTCAATGAACTGAACGTTCGGCTATCAGTTACGTTTCGTCTTAAAAATACATCTGTTGAAGTCGATTCCCGCGACAAGCTGATCTCTGATTTGCATAAAACGGTCACGATATACAGAAGATCCTGTTGAAGCCAGACTTTCAAAGTAGAAAAGATCACTTTGAGTTCTCATCATTCAACAATTACAGGAACAAACTTTCAGTAGCAGATTTTAGGGTTCGTTTTGCATGCGACGCCAAAGCAGCTCTAACTTGGAAGACAAAACAAAATGATTTCAATGAGAATTGGAAACCTATTGTTATGTCTTCCAAATTCTATATTAGGGGAGGGGAAATGCCTTTAATTTTATGGTACCCTAAAACAAAGTCTGGGCATATCTAAGTAAGTAGATCCAGCTTTCATGGGGAGGGTCACATATTTTAAATCTGGCATCGATTTCCTCCCCTAAAACAATCCTACAATGCACTGCAATGCCAACTCGACCCAGCTTTTTCCTCTAATAGCCAACCAGTGCAGTTGATCTGTTTTCAACTGGACCACTTTTTTGGAGTAATAGAAGCTTCAATAGACTCTTTAGCATTGTTGTTTGCTGTGCACATTTCAGACCAAGTGATGCCACTCTTGGGAGTTGAATCTTTCATGTGTAAATATTTTAACATGTTCGTCTTAAAAGAACAATTCTCAAGGGAATGTCGTGATCTGAAATGGGCAATTTGCATATAAGCTGAAAAGGTCATTTGTCTTGTGGTAGGTCATGTTCAGCATCTGTATCCATAGCCATGAAGCTGACAGTCACTGATGTTTCATTCTACCTTACTCAGAGATGCAAATTTAAAGTTTACATAAACCATGTCGGTCTGACAGTTTTAAGTGAAATACAATGAAAATGGTTCCGAGTAGGGAGCATCTTTATAAATCCAAATTTTGGACCAAAGACGACGAGATGTAGTCGAAATATTGTAGTTCTATATCTCGTCGTCTTTGGTCCAAAATATGCAGGATTTATAACAATGCTTTTTGAATGCAGTATTTTAGTAGAAAAGGTCTAGCTGAAACATTTGCATTATTGCAAGTAAAAAGCATTATATGTTGGATGATGTAACGAAAAAATTCATTGACAATTCTTTTGTTAATTCATCCTAGCCTGCATTCAGACCGAATTTAACTGTCGTTAATAAATACGGTCTGCACATAGGCTAAATTCATCCAAGATGGTGGCTATGATGTCAAGGGAAAAAATGAATAAATTGCCTTGTTTGTTTTTATGTTTCTTCAATATAAGCGACTTCTGACCATCAAAATGCCAAACATTTTCTAGCCATGACAATTGTAAATTAGTCAAACAAAAGCCAAAGTGGAATTGACTAGGTCAGAGAAAAAGAAAAGGCAGAGGCGTTGCACCACACACATCATTGATGGAAATTTGAAAAAGTATCTTAGATTAGGAATTGAAGTGGTACCTCTATTAAGTGGACACCTTTAAACTGTCAAGATCTTCGCTGGTGTCTGCTGAATAGTGGTTTGTTTTACCATATATTATCTGCTTAATAAGCTATTATTAGTTTCTGTCCCAGACCCTCCCCACTAATGACGACTCCAAAGTACCAGGGATCCACTTAATGGAAGTATCACTCATTCTCATACCCAGATCCTTCTCAGCTTTCTGGGTTAAGAATGATGTATCACTGTAACACGAAAAGCAAACTAAGTATAAAACAGAAATAAAACTAAACAATATTTTTAGCTATAATCAAATTAAATAGCAGATGACTGTGGCTCAAACTTAACAATACAGCTAAATACCTCACTAAGTAACTTTTCACTCATTGCAGTTAGAAAATAAAACTTATTAACGTCACAGTCCCTTTTGACAACAAAAGCTATAATAATACGGTTATCTCTTCTCTTGATAACAATGTCAGAGTCTACATGGTCATAGAAAACTCCCTCTATGTATTTCCGCATCATGACATCGTCAAGTAATCTATCCGATGCTCCATAGCTACCCTTCAGACTTCCTATAAAAGATGGAAAGAATAACAAAACTATTGTTACAATGAGATTCACTCATCTTTTAAATATGACAAAGCAGGGGAAGGGGATGAAAGAGTGAGGATCATGTTATACTGAAAGAGAAGTTTATAGTGTGATATGAAAAAATGTCCAAATTTAATGTATCGATGAGTTGCAAGCATTCCCAAGAGAGTTAAAAGACAAAAACATGGYGGCCATTGTGGTACCGTTAACAATGGATGCTAATGAGAAATCTTTTGTTAAATGGYACCAACATGGCCGCGATGACGTAACGTGCAAATGAAGAATTGGGATACTTCTATGTGTAGGTTTTTTGCTGCCAAACAAGCTTTTACATGATGTTTTTGGTAAGTCCTGCCAGCTTTGTATCGAATTGTGTCAGTTTAATGTACCAAAGCCTGTGCCTACAAATACGCCAATACATTATTGCAAGATATACTGCTGTAATGGGTTTTAAGAGTATTCTTAATCACAGATATTATAATCCAAACGTACCTGTATGCTGTGATTCAAATCCTTTTGTGACTGCAACCCTGTAACCTGGTACTGCTTTGGTTTTCACACCTCCTTTCAGTGGCTTAGCTTTTGTAGCAAATCTGACCCCCATGATTCCTAGTATTTCAGGATAATGATTCATGGCAGAATAACAGGTTGATACTTTTGGATTGATCCCATTACGAGATAACTGAAATATAATGACAAAAGATTTACTGAATTTGATTCAAAGCTCCACAGTGTCTTGGTGTGTTACCTCATAGCCACCATGTTGGTTGACGATAACAAGGCATATTTGTTCCTCATTAGCTTCCTCTGTTAGATCGGCAAAAAATGTGGCTGTTCCATAGTTTTTTATATCTCAAGGGAATTTGAGTCATGTGGCTACATCCTCATCATAAAATATAAGCTTAAATATGTAGGTCATGTAGGTCTATGTATAAATATTAATTATTATTATTAAGAAGGCAGCGTGGTCAAGTGGTCATAGTCGGGTTCAAGTCCCGCTGTGGCCACTATAGCTGAGACTGTATTTGTCCTGATTAGTTCAAATTCAGTTTCTCAACCATGCTTGTAAATAGCCAACTGGTTTGCCTCCTTGCCAGTTGGGATTCTTAAAACACTTTATGTTTCTTTGATCATTTCTTCATTTCAGTTTATTAATTTGTGGACTACACTGTAAACTAGCAGTTAGCTAAGCGTACTTTCCACGTTAAATCAGGTTATTTTTTTTTTAATTTTTATATGCGATGTGAGTTGGGTGGGCTTTACTTTATAATGATACTTTATGTGGCGTTAGCCATGCTAACTAGAGATCAGTTGGCTGGTGACACAAAGCAACTTGTGAAAATGGTTGGCATTTATACAATACTTTGCTAGTAAACACCCAAAATTTGAAGGGCTCCATAAAAAATAAAATAAAAGTATTTTCCATTTATCTTTACCTGTAAAAAAGACTTCTTGATAACATTTACGCAAGCTCGGCCAGCCATCGCTCGTTAACGATACAACAAGGCCTCAATAATTAAAATATAATGCAAAGAAAAAACATCCCAACTTAGTCCGCCATTTTGATTTTTTGTTAAATTGCCCCATAATCCTTATCGCGCCAATATCGCGCCGGCTCGTCGCCGGTTGCGTTCGTTCCCAGGCTCTCTCATATTATTTTTTTTGCCATCCAAAATCAATTGACTGAATTTTCTAAAGGGATAATTGTTGTTTAAAAAGATGAGTTGGTTCTGAGATACTTTATTTAAAAAGCATTTCAAGAGACCATGGGTCTCTTCTATTCCTTTAAGGTGGCTGCCTACTTTTGAACGTTCGAATTGAGCCCACGATGAGCGCGCGCTCAAAAACCGCTGAAAAATCTACAAGATTTTATTGAAGAACCATACGCGTTTTGAGCTTCAACAGGGCAAAACCCTCAAATTTAGCACGGGACTCTCTATTTTTTAATAGCTCATTCGAAAAAACTCCTAAAAATCTCGGTTTTATCAACATTTTAGAAAAAGTTTAAATCAGTAACACATGAAAAAATAGATTTTTGTAGGAATTTTTGTTCGACTTTATGAGATTTTTTAAGGGCACCGAAACTACAAAATATGACAAATCAATGTATTTTTTTGTATTTTTTGTCGAAAATATCCATGTATTATTGTAGAATGATTGACTAGCCTTCATTCGTGCAATCATAGAGTCTGCAAATAACTATTATCTTATGAATCTTAATTTTTTTCTTATCACTTCCGGTGGCGCAATTTTTACTCCAAAAGCTCGTGCGTAGGCTTCCATTAAATGCTGATTATCTCGAAAACGAGCTCGGGACACCCTATTTTTCTTTCCAGATTTGGAATCAGCATTCAATCTCAATTCGGAAAATCGAAGTTTTAAAAAATGTTTAAATCAATTTCCAAAAGGAGGCAGTCACCTTAAACGTTTCAATGGTGAATCATGAAGAGGAAGGTTAGAGGGGGTCAAAGGTTAACTCAAGTAGAATCAAGAAGAATTCAATGACGAAGACACAGTTAATCACTGTGTACACAGTTAATTTTTTGAAGAAAACATGCAAGACGAAGAAGACAAACTTGAGCCGAAAGGAGCGCTAATGCAGTGATGGAAGAAGTGCACAGGCTGCAGTTTTCTTCCTCGAGATTCTGATATTGGCGAGAATGGATCTAGAATTGATGGTTTTCACGGCGGTCATGTTGGAGGAACTTAACAAAAGAATTGTCAATGAATTCTTTTGTTATGTCCTCCAACATGGCCGACGTGTCTTTTGTTATTTAATTCTCTTGGGAATGGTTGAAAACCATCAATAGGGATCTCTCTTCTAGGATCTTTTCACTTGTATATTTTTGCTGTGAGGCATGGTTTTGAAAACGAACCAACAAACTGTTGGCAGAATGTAACTTTTGTTTTCAAGAAACTTTATTTCAGTTGTAGTTAAGTAACTCAGCCAGTAACGACTATTAATCCTACGAGCTATACTTTAGCACAAAGGACTTTCGTGCCAGCCAGGGCGCAGTAGTTTCCGTCTCCGTAGTCGCTGGTCCATATTCTCAGGCCCTGGTAACCTGCATTCTGGCAGCCATTGACTTGATCGTTTTCAGAGCCGCACCAAGGCGCCGTACCTTGAAAACAAGTGAACAAACAACAGAAAAATGAACGACCTGAATGAGGCAAGCGAACGATTTGATGAAAAGGCGAACAAACAAATAACAGCAGCACTAAGTACATGCTACGGAGCTATGCAATGGTAATGCTTTCGAGTGGTAAACATCCCACGCGTCATGCAGTAGCATTTTCTTGATATACACGAGCCTTTACACGAGTGTGACACTACACTATGTGTTGTGAGTGCATGATGGATTGTGATTGGTTTAGCGTATGCATTGGCGTGTCACGTCCACGTTTGTGCCGTGAGCTCTTCACAGTCATACAAAAACTGCTCTAAAGGATGCATGCGTTGAAAACTTGGCAAAAGCTGATTACCGCAACGAGGAATTTTTACCTTGCCAATAAGATTTGGTGAAGGTTTTGGAGCAGAAATATCGCACTTTATAATACGGTCTATCGGGGCATCTAAAGGTGTGTGTTCCATCCCAGATTCCGTCGACCTCTTTGGCCCATGTGTACTTATTGTCATCCTTGGGATTCTGTGTCAAATGATAACCAGCCAGGCACACGCCAAGGGGGTTGTCGTATTTGGGCTTGCACATTGTCCAGTAGTTGTCGACTCCATCTTCTTGCTTCAGAGCATCGATCTTTTTGGTTTTAACTCGGTGCTTTATGGCATCGTCAACGGCCTTTTCGGTCTTGCTTTTCTTATTCGACCGAGCAGCAGTTAAGTTCGCGGTGATGGCAACAAGAACCAAGAAGATCAAGATACAAGAGGCGTTCATGTCAGTTTTTTTAGGAGACCTTCAAGGTAAGAAACACACATCAGAAAAACCCTGTTACTACCTTTATCACGTTAGCGTGACATCATAAGATATTAGATTTATCTGAAAAAGTAGTTTACTAATTGCCCTTTAACTGTGACTGACCAGGATTTTTCTGAACTATGTGAATTAACCAAACCAGAATCAATTCAGGATGGTGAAGCCGGTTTTAAGATCTGATTTTACTTAACTAATGTGGCCACTTCACCACTCCGTAAAGAGCGTAAGCGTAAAGATTCTGCATTGAAAAATAACAAGTGTAACAAACTTCGGAGAATTTTGGGAAAGCAATTACAAAGCTTACCAATCACACGCGAAATGATACAATTTTCTGTCTCGACAAAATTAGGTCTTTTGCTGGACGTTAATCAAAAGTGTTGCCATGACATTGTCGGAAAATCAAACGGTTTCAAGAGCACTTGCCTACATGAAATGTTGTGAAAATTGTTTTAGCGCGCGACTTCACCAGTGCGTGTCTGCAATAGCTTAGACCTATACCCCAAACCCCTCCCTTTTCTGGTCAAAATTTAATGTGAAATGTAAGGAAACACCCTAAATAAATTTTACTTTAAAACTTGGTGATGGGTGTTGGGGCGACGAACCGGTCAAAACTGGTTGCAAGTGGATTTTTATTGCCTTTTCATAGCACTGAACAGCAACGAAAAGACCTGTTGTAGTATGACTTTTAACGCCTTTCTCGAAAATACACACAATGGCATCTCGATGTTTGGGAATTCATTAATCGATAGATTGAATCGAATAGTTCAGTCAGTGCCGATCGTTAAGGTTAAGACAAGAAAAAAAATATTATTAATAGCAAAAACAACGAAAAGTTGTCGCGCTTCACATGAGAATTTTCGCCCATCGTTGATAGCATTTGAATAATTTAAAGGCTGAAATGAAGCTAAACGCACCCGTAACACAAAATGAGAAGTCCTTTGAAGTTTCTTGAAACTCAGAAAAAATCGATCTGATTCCCAGGATGCTTTGGAGTAATAATAATAATAATGTATCTTTTATAGTAGAATAAGCTTATAGCAATGATAATTTTTATCATGATTGAAGCAAATATATTAACTGGGATGATAATAATAATCACTCGGTAGTCGGAGCTATGCATTGTGCAATTTCACCTTTTCGAAGTATAAAAACGAAAAAACAAAAAGACTTCAGTGTTTGTTTACTTTGCGCCACGTCTTTCTTTTGACTTTCTTGATACAAATACGAAACAAAAATATCCTGAACTAGAATGAATTCGAGCGCTAGCCAGCATATTCAAATAATACAGACAGTCTGAACGTTATTAAGGTCAAGTATCGAGAGATCGAATGTACGTTCGGGGCGGGTTACACGGAAAACCGACGCGTTTGTTGTTGGCTAGATATGCATACACAAAATCTTGCCAGGAACTGGGAAACAAAACAAAAAGAAAAGCAAAACAACAACAATAGCAAAATAGTGGTAAAAATATAATTAATAAATAAAGAGAACTTAAAAAATCAAGCAATCATCCTCCCATTTTCCTTTTTTTTTTTTTTTTTTTTTTTTTTTTTTTTTTTTTTTTTTTTTTTTTTTTTTCTATTCTTTTCCTTTCCTTTTCCTTTTATTCCTCCAAAAAAGGTGATAAGCGTTACTTAACTTCGGGGAAGGATGCGCTAAAAACCGACTGTAAGTGCTCGARAATCCTATGTATTGACACGTTAGTTTCACGTTTTGCTATAAAATCACATTCTATGTCCTCTAAATTCTCGATTTAATCAAATAACACAATTCATTATTTGTTATATCATTTATAATTTGTTTCCAAATGCCACGCTTCTATCTAATGTGAGTCTAATGACTACTCAGATGTGCCAGTACTTTGTTCTCAATACCAGTGTCTTTTATTCGTGTTTTTTTTAAAATGGTCATTACCATATCTTTAATTCTTCATAATTGAAGGTCACATATAATGTCGCGCCAGTATTTTTTCGCTTCACTTTGCAATTTTGAAAAAAAAATCGCGTATATATGGTTTGACTACACAAACCAAGACCACCCAAACTTTCCGGCATACTGAATTGGGCAATCACGACTAAGTATTTAAAATAATAGAATATGTACAACATTTTACATTTTACTTTATATGTGTATGTGTATGATAAGGAGGGAGCAAGAAACAGTTTAAATTCTACAATTATTNTTTTTTTTTTTTTTTTTTTTTTTTTCCTATAGGAGAAGAAATCACTTATTTCTTTCTTACGTAAGTATTTGGTTCCAGAAAAAAATTCTGGCGATTAAAAATATTAATGTTAATGAGTACCTGTGATACTCTCTACTGCTAAAACGGGGTCCTTATTCTAAGGAAAGAAAAAAGTTATTCCTACATTTTTTTAGACTGGAATTTCTGCAGAGAGAAATAGAAGGCTAAAAGTTATCATTATGAAATCACTAATAACTGTGCCGAATAGAGATAAATTTGTCGAATTTGTCGTCACTGAACAAAAGATTCAACGAGCAGTGTATCTGCAAAAACCAAATTCGCCTTCTACTTACCAACTTTGTGCGCGGTCTGAGGATGTTTCACACTCAAGTCACAAGAGCAACTGAACACTAGAGATTCGTGCACTGGGATATTTAAGGCAACTACCAATGATTTTACATTATGTCGTTGAACAGGTGCAGTTGCAGGTATAGAAACTTTGACAGGGAAAGTTTGGTGGATACAGGGGGGACACAGTATAGGCAATAGTAACTTCAGGGTATCCAGTTTAGTTAAGAGTTAGTAACCCACTTCTACATGTCGAGAAATTGAGGCTAGAACAAAGAATAGAAGTGGGATGAACAGTGGGTGCTTCATGCATGCAACCCCCACTACTGGCCAGCTCTACTTGAAATTGGGTTCCGTAAAAAGAAGGTTGTTTATATTTTTGACCTCTTTCAAAGACCTAATATAAGCATCCAAAGCTGTGTGCCACGTGAGAAAAATTCTATAAACCTGGCGCAGGATTCGAGAAACGTTTCGGACAAGAAAACTCAACCAAATTGTGATCGATGTGTGTTTATTTCGACGCTATTCGAGCAGGCCAAAAAGTTTCGAGAAGCGCAATTATCAGAACAAAATGTTTTAAAGATGCCCCCCTTACCCCATTGATGGTGGTACTTTTCATGGCTAAAAACAAAGACATGCATAAAAAATGACTGAATACCGGTTGAGTAAAAGAAGATAGGACTCATCTATTTGGCCAACGCTTAAAACATCATTAAGCTGAGAATAAATATTTGAACTAAAGAAAAAAATAATAGTAAACCTAGTTTTTTAAAGAAAATATTTCAGTGCAAAAAAAAAAGCATATATACATCATATTTTGATTAGTGGAATTCTAGTTCAATCGACAAGAGAAATCTACCAAAAATAGTTGACCCATAATTCCATTCAGGGAACGCAGTCAACTCAGCTGGCTTTGCAAGTTGTGTTCATTCCCAGGCTCTCTCATTTGACACGTAAACATTAGTCCCAGTCCCCAGACAGTAACGCGTCCATCCAACATGGCGACCATGTTTAAAGTTTTCTTCTTATGGAAAATTGATTATTTTCCATCCATTATTTCTCCCTGACATCCTAACAAATTGGCTGAGATTTCTGTTCGATACAACTAAAAGATGAGTTGGTTTGACGCTTCAAGCTTTACTAGTTACGCCAAGACTGCCCTGGCCAGTGCTCAGAAGTCCATCGATAAAGTGTTAGATATCGACGAGACAACAGCAGCCTCATCGAAGAACAAGAATGCCGATGTTAAAGGTATTACTTTAGCGACAACTCTTCTTATTTTTATGAACCGGTGCAATGAAGTTTATTTTCTTAAATCACTCGTGCATGTACAGTACACGACACTTCATAAGTTTACAACAGTGCAGCTTATTTATGACCCAAAATTTCTAAATTTCAGTTTTAGTTTTTGCCAGAGATGCTATTTTAATTTTCTTGTAACTGTGTTTCTGATAAAAAATAGGCTTTAGGCACAGTCATATGCATATTTACCATTCTTAATATACTCAAGGGAATAATATTTGGGTGGAAATTGGAAACATAGGCCTTCAGACAAACATAAAAGGTACGGTTGTCCCAGCTTTAGCAATCACAGATAAGAAGTTATGAATAAATATGTACTGTACGACCAAGCAAGAACGTAATGTACCATGTTTGCTATATCAGAAAAGGTATATTAATAGCTTCAAACTAAAGTTATTTCATACTTGTAGATAAAGAAAGCACAGAGTCTGCATCAGTCAACACACAGAAAGAGTCTGGTGTGAAACTTCAGTCATCGAAGCCTCAGTCAAATTCTAACACCTCAACACAAAAAGATTCAAGTAAGGATAATTCATCAGTAGATGGAGGTGGGGATTTTTGGTCATCATTCCTTGGAACCTCATCAGCATCTTCAGCATCAACTTTATCATCATCTTCTTCTTCATCATCTGCAGACAAGAAGACAAAGACTTTACCATCTTCAAAACAAAATGATTCAAAAGTACAAAATAAGAGAACTAGTAATCATGGAGAGACATTAGAAAAAAGGAGACAAAAGAAAAGAGAAAATAGGATAAATGATTCTAATGGAGTAACTAAAAATCAAAATCAAAAGGAGAGATCAAACAATGAGGATCTTAAGGCAATGTGTGATAAAGAAGCTTCACATGATATGAAAGATGGCAATGGAAAAATTCATATTGGAAATGAAATGAGAGTGTCTTCCACAGATTCATCAGGACAGCAAACACCGCATAAAAGCTATATTTCTAAGGATAGTAAGGAGTTGAGTCCTTTAAATGATGAAAAACTCAATGAAGCAAAAACAGAAAACATATTTCCTATTAAAGATGAACAAAAATTACAATTGGTAAAAGAGAATAACTTGGGAAATAAAAGGGAAATTTTAAGACAAGTTGATGGTATTAAAAAAGAAAATGATCAAACTGGCAGTACTTTTAAATCTGAGAAAATGGGGAAAGAACTAAAAGATAATGATACTGAAAACACTGGTGAAGTAAAATATTATGAAGGTAAAGAGACTTCCAACTTATCACCAGAAACTTTAGAAAGTCAGTCAGTCACTGAAGACAGTGAAAATTTAGATGTTGTTAGTAAGAATATTGAATCACTTCTTCATACAGCACCCAGAGCAACATCAACTCCTTACACTGAAAAATTGAAAGTTTTAACAGGTGATGAACATGTTTGTGAAGATGATGTTGGTCTCAGTAGAAAAACAAAAAAGAGTTTGTTAACAGAAGGTGGAAAGAGTAGACCTCAAGAGCAAGAAGAAACAGGGGGGAGAAAAGAACCAGTTGAGGATGAATGTGATGGTGAGGATGTTATTACTGGGTCTGTGTACACAGTTGAAGAAAACATGCAAGACGAAGAAGACAATCTGGAGAAAAGTAGCAGTAATGATGTGATTGAAATTGCGGAGAGTATCATCAAACTCTCAAAACAGGGAGAGTCAACCAAGACTTCTCCAACACTAGAAAAACAAGATTCTGAAGACATCAACTTGGAAGTGACAGGGGAATTGACAAAAGATGAGACTTCTCCAGCAATAGAAAAGCAAGAGTCTCAAGAAGATAACTTGGAAGTGACAGGGGAATTGACAAAAGATTATCAGAATCTTGTGAAAGAAAAAGAGCATGAATCTGCTTTATCTGAGGAGTCTTTAGAAGAAAAAACTGTGGCAGCTCAAGAAAACAGGAATGAAGAGCCCAATAGTATTCAAGTGCAAACTCTTTTGAAGGTTGGTAAAGTCTAGCGGTTCAAAGAAGGGTTGGGTAAAAGTATTTTGTCTCTCTTATTTCACTTTCTTTGGGTGGCGTGGGTGGCATAGTGGTTTACCACTTGTCTCTAAGCACTAGATGTGGCCCAGATTTGAGCCCCAGCTCTGGCTAGATCATATATGAGTTGAGTTTTTTTGATGTCTTGTTCTCTTCCTTGCCACAAGGATTTCTCCAGGTTCTCCGGTTTCCTCCCTCGCCCTGTAAAAATCAACATGTGAGTTGTCACAAAGTGTCATATGTTGTAAATATAGAACCTAGTGCTAGTGCCTGTATGTGTAGAGGGAACCTCACAGAAGAGCCTCGTACAGGAAGTGATATTTGTAAAATATTAGTTTTCAAGTTTTTCTTTCTACGTACAGTACATGTATGCATTTCTGTATACCATTTGAAAGGAAACCAAATATATGCATTTATCATTTGGGTAATTAGTCTATTTTTTATCATTTTCCCTTCATTTCCTTGGTATTACTCATGCCTTGGCACCATTTGAAAATAAAGGGAAAATAAATGATCATGTTTATCATTCATTTTCTAAGTTACTGGTACGTGTATTTATCAACTTTTAGCTTCAATCCTTCTATTGTATGCTCTGTATGCAACTGAAAAACTACTTACATGTAGCATAGGTTACCTTTAATTTTCTTTGTTGTCTTTGAAATAGGAAGTGTCAGGTCTAAAAGAACTGGTTGATGCTAGAGAGAGTAAGATGGTTGCTTTGAGTAAGGAAAATATTGATCTACAAGAAACAAATGCCATACTGAGAAGGTGAGGATAGAAACTACTGCTATTTTAAATGCAGGGGAAAAGGTGCATTTTGTTAAACCCAGTTGATAGTATAGAGTCTACGAACAGGATATCACTTAATGGCAGGGCTTAAAAAAATGGTCAGGCATCAGAAAATGTCCACCCTGAATAGACCCTTTTCAAGTTCCAAATTACTGCTGTGTTTCTACAGTAGATTACAGACTCATTTGCTCAGGCTAAGCCTCGAACCAGTGTGAATACCCGCAAATACCAACGGTAAGATAAAGAATGCACAAGTTCATACGAACACTTTGAAACTTGACGGACCTTGATTGGAAAACGTGAATATTCTTTACAAAATTGAGACTTAGCCTGAGCAAATGAGTCTGTAATCAAGAAACACAGCAGTAATCGAAAAGGGTCTATTGAAACTTGTCTGGTCAAATCTTTTCCTTGTCAGTAAGTTTGACGGTAATGTTGAGCCAGAAATGTGGTATAACTGAGCTAAAACTAATTTGGTCATCATGACTGGCGACTTATGGGTAGTTATTTTAAGCCCTGTTCAGGTACTGTATCTTTCATACAATCAGGATGTTTTATTCATGCTTGCAATTATATTCAATATAATTATATATGCACAATTATTATTAACAATGTGTATTATTATTAAGTCAATTGGAGCAACTTGAAAAGGTGCACAACTCAGAAGATGAAGAATTTGAGGAAATGAAAGAGGAGTTTACGACAAGAATAGCAGCAACAGAAAACAAGTTTCATGAGGTTGCCAAGGTGAGAATGGGAGTGAAAAAAGAAGTGAATGAATAAGTGAATAGGTGAATGAGAAAAATTATATTAAATGAGAGATTTAAGATGGCTTGATATAGTTTTTCAGGCTTGAGGTACCTTATTACCTCCAATATATATTTAGGCCTATACAACAAACTTGACAAAGTATCAAAGCAATAGACCTCCTCGGCTCTGACGTAATGTTTTCCCATTTCAGACCACATGCCATTCCCTAGGGTATCATTTCTTTGTTTAAGGTTTGCACTTCGTTGCACATGAGAAGACACATGAATATGGATACAGCTCAAACAAAGAATATTATTCTCAAGGGAATGACAAGTGGTCTAAAATGGGACAATAGAGCGGTCCAGAGGCGAGGAGGTCTATTGAAGCATTCTTAAGATTTGAAATCATGATTCCAAAAGAGGTACCTCGAACCCAAAAAGAACTACATATATCGTTGAGCCACCATAAGGAGTGAATGAAAAAACTATTAATAAATAAATGGATGGACCTTTGGATAAATAAAATAGTGACAAATTGAATGAATAAACAAGTAAGGGATTAATTTCATGGCATTCATCAAATCTACTGTTTCATTCTTTTCATTTTACTTCGTAGGAGAGAGATGACTTGAAAATGGAACTGGAGGAAACGAGAAATAATTTGACAGCCATGTAAGCTGTTGTGTGCATAAGTTTTTTTCTAATGATCATGAATAAATAATAGAAATAATAGCAATAAACAGTGGATTCCAAGGTGGTATTGATTACCTATCAATTAATCAACCTTTTTTGGCCTTCCAGTTATGAAAGACAAAAAGAAGAACTGACAACAATCATCTCTGAGAAAGATGAACAAATAGTTCAGCTGCTTGCAGAAGGTACTGTACAGTTGCTGTTGTACATAGTTTTCACTCATTTGAGAAGATGGCCATTATTATTGGTGTATGAAGCAATAGAACAGTATCATTACATTGTATTTGTTTATTTTCTTTGGTAAAGTCATGTCATCATCAACATATATCTTATTGCTGAAATTTTAATTATCATCTAATGCCTTTTTTCCTTACATTTTCCTCAACATTACAGTCAAAACGGCTCAAGCTTACCCTCCTAGATTTCATTCATGGTTTTATTATTTGAATATTGAAATCTATTATTCTTTCTGAGAATATGAAGACATGGGATCCGAAATAATGACGGATTCAAAACTCGAATTCTGATTGGATTATGGTGTTATTTTTATGGAATAATCCAATCGGAATTCGAGTTTTAAATGTAAATTATTTTAAAATTAATTCAAATCTCGAGTCTTCATATTCTCATTGTCATAAACACCACTGTCATCAATCATCTTTACTGCCATCATCACCACCATCATTAGTCATCATTGCCATCATCTTCACCATCATCATCATCATAACTTTCTAATCACCTTCTTTGTCATCCTAATCTCTACGTTACACTGTTATCATGGGTGGCATGGGTGGCATAGTGGTTTACTTCTCACCTTTCACCACTGTCATCCAGGTTTGAGCCCCTGCTCAGACTCAGGATCATATGTGAGTTGAGTTTGTTTGATACGTTGTTCTCTCCCTTGCCACAATGGTTTTCTCCGGGATCTCCGGTTTCCTCCCTCCGTAAAAAAACAACAAGTGAGTTGAGTGTTGCATGTTGGAAATATAGAATTTAGTGGTAGTGTGTGTGGAGGGAACCTCACRGAAGAGCCCTGCGTGGGGAGTGGTGGTTGTAAAATATAAGTGTTTACAAGTATTTAAGTTTTGCCATGCTGATAATTTCATCTCTAATCAACAGGAGAGAAACTTTCCAAGCAGGAACTCCAAAGCAACATGACCATTAGAAAACTCAGAGCAAAAGAGAAAGAAAATGATACTCTAATCAAAAAACAAACGTGAGTTTCTTTGCACTCTAATAAGAGCAAGAGTTTTGATAAATAAAAATTACTAAATTTCTTCTGCTGTTCTTTTGTCTAAAGGAAAAAACTTGAAGAGTACGAAAATGAGGTAAAACGACTGACTGACATTCTAACATCACGTGATGATAGCCATTCAAAGCAAGAAGGTGTGTGTGAATTGTGAAATAAGGAATAGAATTTGGGAAAAAGGATAAAAGAACCTATGACCTGTGGAGATTAAAAATTGAATGGAGATTTTGAAATTTTCATGTCCTTCTGCTTAAAGTCCCCTTCTCTTGAGCTTGAAATTCTTTTGTTTTGTCCTCCAAGTTTAGCTCCTTTGAAGTCACATGCAAGGGGTCTATTCATTGACAGCTGATTACTACCTGTTATACGAAAGAAAAGGAAATATTTGTTATGAGTAAAAGAAAAGAAAATATAAAAGGAAATTACTGTCAAAACCTATATTTCTGTGATATTTTATTCATTAGTTTTCTTTGCTTTCATTTTTATACCAGATGCAATCATTAAACTAAATGCATATGTGAAGAAACAAGAAGAACAATTAAGCAAACAAACGGTAACTAGTAACGGTAGTCTATGCCATCAGACTTTTGTGTGGGAGGTCATGGTTCGAGTCCCAGCCGGACCAACACTCAGATTCTTAAAATAACTGAGGAGAAAGTGCTGCCTTTGTAATTACATCTGCAAATGGTCAAACTTTCAAGTGCCTTGGATGACCACCTTAAATGGTGGTCCCATCTCTCCACACTCACCATTACCAACTGACATTGGAGGGATGTAATCTGTCATACAAAATTTTAATATCAATTTTTGTGTTTCCAGTCTGAACTAGAAGATGCCAATGAGAAAGTTCGAAGTATGCAAGTTGCCCTAGACAATGCTTACAAGTAAGACATGCATTCTCTATCAATTATATTACCTAAGTATAACATTATTATTTAGCACCTATCAATTGAAATTAGCCTAATTTTGTCCAAGAGAGCAGGCTTGCTGTTATGTTAATCATGGCAAGGTATATTTTAGTCAGGAATATCAACAGCAAATTTCATCACTTAAAGTTTAAAATCTGCTTAGTTGTCTGATCTTTATTACGTCAATTTACAGAGAGATGACTTCACTACAGAAGCAGGCAGCATCTTCAGACAGTTCAATTCAGGCAAGTCAGAACTCTGAGAGTTTTAATCCTACTGATGTGTTTATACATTTACTGTATTTTATCATGTAGTCCGACCTCGACTTTGAGGCATTGTTTAGTGGTCACTCCATTGAATTCGAAAAAGTTCTTTTTCTCTAATATTTTTTTCTTCAGTTCCCTTCCAAGTTGAAGTTGGAGTTGCAGCACATGATAAACTATAGTTTTGCTATGCACAACAGCTCCAACCTTGACTCAGAACTATTACATGTATTTGTGGTCACTGAACTGAACCGCAAAGAAGAGTGTATTCCTTCTAAGCCTGTACATGTACACCCCTTGTGGGGTATAGGCCATCAACAACATCTGAAAGCCAGTTTCTCTTTTGGTAATGTTTCTGTAGTGTTTTCTGGTTTGTACAGGGAAGGAATGCTAGTCCTTTGCCCAACCCTCCTTTCTTATCTGGGCTTGGGACCGGCCATGGTGGAGTAAAGAGGAGTGTATTGCTCTTACAATAACATTGATTCCATTTAGGAGGCAGTGCTTAGTGCTGAAATGAAAGCCAAAGAAGAATTACGGATAGCATTAGAGAAAGCTCGCCGTGAATATGGGCAGGACAGTGAATTGATGGCACTTCAGATATCTGACCTACAGACCAATTTAAGCCGTGCTGAGAAACAAGCTATCCGGCGAGAAGAAAGTCTACGAGAGGAAATTAAAGACTTACAACAGGTTTGTTAGAACATACTATACACTAAATTACTATACAATAAATTGCTATGACCTTAATTACATGTAGAGCTTTTAAGTTGTGATGTATTTTGGGATCCAACTGCTCACCAAATGCACTAGAGGCCCATTGATAAAGTGCTAGCATGCAAATCGAATTGAAATTTAGGAGTTGATTTTTGTGGGGAAAGAAAAACATTGGTCTGCCTGTGGCTCTCACAGAAATATGACAAGCCACAGGAGCAGTCAAATAAGGGGCCAGTGTCTGGGATACTGAAAGCATTGCATGTTTGTGCAATGAATAAATAAATAAATAAAAGAAAAAAAAATGACAATTAGATTAGCAGTGGAATCCAAAGAGTGGCTATTCTTCTACTGGATATGAAAAGTTGGAATTTAGAAGTTGATTTTTACAGAGGGAGGAAAGCCAGAGAACTCGGAAAACCCTTGAAGCACAGGAGAGAACCAACAAACAACTCTACTCACATATGACACTAAGCCCAGCAGGACTTGAACCAGGTTTACAGTGGTAAGGGGCGAGTGCTCTCTCCCCTACACTATCCGTGCTTCCCTAAAAATGAATAATGTAATATGTGAAACAAATTCTTTCCATGTTGATTATGTATTTATATATTTTCCAGAGAATTCAAGAAGCTGAGGATCGTAACCAAGATCTTGCTGCTAGCGTCTCGCATGGTGTGTTCCTCCTTTGTGTGTTCATCTGCTGCCTCTTCCATCCAGTGTCATATTCCTTCCTATCATATTCCTTCTTTCCCTTTCTTCCACCCCTTCACACCCTTGCTGTTTCTTTTTTCCCCATCTACTGCCTCCCATCCAGTTTCCTTCCCACATCAAAATGTGGTCCTGTCCCCTCACTCTCCTTCATCATTTCCCTTCCTCCCATACCTTCACACCCTTGCTGTGCCATGTTTTCTCATTTTCTGTCACTTCCATCCAGTTTTCTTTTCAAGTCATGTGGTCCTGTCCCTTCACTATCTTTTTCCTTCCCATTCCATTACTTACCATACTGTGCCATTTTTCTCACCTTCTGTCACTCCAATCCAGTTTTCTTCTCATGCCATTTATGCCTTTCCTCTCACTATCATTCCTTCTTTCCCTTCTTCCTCTCATCCCTTCACTCCCACAATGTCCCATTTTCTTTCATCTCCTGTCCCTTCCATCTGTCATATTTTGTAAAAAATATATCCTTTCGTTTCTTTCAGCCACACGTCCTTTATTACGACAAATAGAAAATTTACAAGCCACTCACAGTGGACAAGCATCAACTTGGGAGATGGTGGAGAAAAACCTAACTGAACGATTAAGTAAGATTCCTTACCTGATCTTATATTTGTTCGGTTTCCATTTTTGAATTAAACATCGCTCCTTCTGTTATTCTGTCTGTTACCTATTCTCTTCCTCTTCTCCTTTCTCTAATCTCCCCCCCCCCCCCCCACATCTTTATTTGGCAAGCCTATAAATTATTGCAACCATTTGCCAAACATTGTTGCATTGTTCCTCTTTTTAGATGAGGCTCAGAGTCAGCTCCTCGCTGCACAGGAAAAAGAGCGTGTGGCTTCACGAAACGTGTCCGAACTGAACAGTCGAATAACAAGACTTGAATCACAGGTCAACTCATATCGCACGGAAAGGGCGCGATTAGAAGCCGAATTAGAGCTTGAGAGGACCAAGGTTGGATCTCTAGAGGACATCCATAGCAGGTAAAAAAGTGGCTTCATTGTTAAATAGACTTTTTCAGCATGGGCGTCATAATTTCCCATTACAGAACACTTGTCATTCTCTTGAAAATTAAATTTTTTGTTTGAGTGTTATCCATATTTATCAGTCTTTTCATGTGTAACTATTAAACAAAGAAATGATACTCTAGTGATCTAAAATGGGAAAAAATAGGCCCAAACCAAAAAGATCTATTCTTATTGATGGTTTTCAACCATTCCCAAGAGAATTAAATAAAAATAGACACGGCGGCCATGTTGGAGGATATAACAAAAGAATTCATTGACAATTCTTTTGTTAAGTTCTTCCAACATGGCCGCCGTGAAACCAATTCTACATTTGATGTGTCTGAGACCAAGAGAAAGTTGTGTTTTAGAAATAAGCAGACAGGGAAACAGATATAGCCAGCCAATTGTAATCAATATAAGTTTAAAAAATCAAATTATACATACTGTACCATCGTAATACAGTACGTAAGGAACTTTTTTTCACAGAGAGGTGGCCAAATCAGATGCTGTCGTCAAGAAGTACAAGAAACTGATTGAAGAAGCAAATATGGACAAGGTAAAATATGGAGTTAAAAAAGATGGACATAAAATTTGGACTTACTATATTTTTGAAATTGACTGAATATCGATTCGATAATGAAATGTTTTCCATAAGTCGAACATTGTATCATTTAACATTATGGTTTATTTTTCTTTGGTTTTGAAGGCGCATTTAGAGCAACAGTTAGCGGTTGAGAAAAGTCGATTGGAAACCGAATTAAAGAAAGTGAAAGCTGCTCTGGAAAACAAGGTAATTTAATTCCTCTTTCCTTCTTCCCTTTTCCTTTTTTTTTTTCTTCTTTTTTTTACACGGATTATACTGGTTTCAAGGTCATTAACGAAAGGAAATGAGTAGTGTGAGAGTGTCTCTCTTCTCAATCACTGCTGCATTTTGTCCCTTTGTGTCTTCTTTTCCCCTCCACCAATGGCCTTCTATTCATTGTTATCTTCTCTCTTTGTCTGAAGCTCATTACTGAAAAGAGAATTGCTAGTGCGAGGGACATTTCCATATTTCTCGACCACCCCCCTTCCCCCCTTTTTCCTCCATCTTTTGACTCTTCTGCCTCCATTCTGCCTCCATTCTCTATATATTTTAAATGTTGTTTTTTCTTATCTTCGAAGGAGAAATTATTGTCTCGCCAATCAAGTTTAAGCAATGCACCTCCACCATCGCCCTCAGATAACGGCGAACCGAACCAGGTACTGAAACAAATCATCGTTAAATTTTGTGAATTGCGCCTACAAGCTCCCGCAAAATTATAAGTGCCAATTACTATTCTTGTGAATATACCCCCCCCCCCCTCCTCCACAGCAATATTACAGAAGGTGCATTTCACCCTTCAGGAGCGTCATAAGCATTTGAAAATTGGATAGAACAACTCCGTTTCAGTAAATTCCGCCTCACAATTCCGCCCAACCTTTTCGGCTATCGCGTAATGCTTTCCCGATTCAGGCCCGTGTTATTATCTTGAGAGTAAGATTCCTTGTTTGAGTTTCTACATACGTGTCTTCTTATGCACAACCGTTAAAGTGCAAATGAACCCTTCGACAATACTTTCAGTACTGATTCTACATGAAGTAAATAGTTGAATGGTAA